CCTCTACCGTACCCGGCTATAGGCTATAGGACCGTATAGCAGTATAGGCCACTTAGGGCCTGTCTGTCCTAGGGGTAGCCCGGGCCTGCTATAGGTAGTTAGGGTAGCTGTAGGAACTCGGTTAGTACCAGGTCTGTATTTTCCGAAAATTACAGATCTGTCCCTCACGAATTTCCACACAGGCGGATCTGTTGGTTAGCCCTCAGCCAAACAAAATTGCAAAACTAACCCTACCAGTTAGCGTACAGCCTCGCAGACAATCTCGGCAGCAAAAATCAGCAAGTCATTGCAGGCTGACCCTCCCCGGGAGCGAGGACCTCCGAGCTCGGGGTGCAGTCGAGGCGAACGGCGAAGGTCGCCCTTCTGAGCCGCCTCATATCGCAGTACAACAGACTTTGCTGTCTTGATCATGTCTCTTCTGTAGAACCATCGGTTCTCAGAAGGGGGCTGGAAAGCGAACCTGACAAGATACTGCCGGTCGGGGCCAGTGCCCCACTCATCCTCAATGGCCACTACATGATATCCCTTACCAGGGATTGGTGGGCCCCATTGAGGGGGCCGGTTAGGGAATGCATCAGCTGGCGTAAAAGGCAGCCGCTTGGATGCATGAAAGACCGGATAGGTTCGTAGATGCAGTGGAATGTCGATGACGTACGACGGAGCAAAGGGATCAGCGCCTACTGTATCTAGAACCTGCCACGGACCCAGGTAGCGCGGCAACAGCTTGGGAGAAATATCTTCCTCCCTTGACAACTCAGAACTGGCCGCCCAGACATAGTCACCAGTGCGGATGGGGGAAGGCCGCCTGTGGCGGTTTGCTTGTTCAATCATGGCCTTTTGGGCCTTGAACAAGTTCGCCCGGGCTCTTTCCACATCCAGACGATAGCGTCTGGCGAACTCTGCAGTGCCTGGGGTAAGGTCAGGCTTAGCCTTGTCGATGATATCATCGAGAGGCTGTCGTGGCTCACGTCCCCAAACATGTTATACATGAGCTGTGCCCTCGCCAAGTGGAGATCCCAGTCCTGCTGATCTGGAGAGATCACAGGACGTAGCAACTGGAACATGACTTGGTTCATCACTTCAGCCAATCCATTGGCTTCAGGATGACGACCAGAAGTCATGTGCAGGCGTGAGTGCTGATAGTCCTTGCAGTAGGAATGCCACTCATCGCTGCAGAATCTGGGGTCTCGATCACTAACAATAGAGGTGGGCGGTCCATGGTGCGTGACCCACCTCTCAGAAAAGGCTGCTCTCACAGCCGGTACCCTGGCTACCTCTGGCAAGGGGATGAACTTTGCGTATTTGGAAAACCTGTCCACGCAGACCATAACCTGACACATGCCACGAGGGGTGGTCTTGCCTTAGTCTGTAAAACCAATGGATACAGACTGCGCAGGACCATTAGGTATGGGCAAAGGTTTGAGCAAACCCAAAGGAGGTTTATGCTGAACCTTGTTCCTTTGGCAGAGCTCACAGGTATCCACATAGCGCAGCATCTCACTCGGCATTTCCTTCCAGAAGCTGCGACAGGGCTGCATACGACTTTAGGAACCCAAAGTGTCCACGCGCGTCGTTGCACTGTGACATCAGCAGTGTCCGCATCTGCTGATCCTCAGGGATGCACAAGCGCTCCTCTCCTCTGCTGTAAGTATACAACATATTTGAACTCAGAACATAGCCAGGTTCAAAGTTGGGATCTGCTTGCAGATTCTTGACGATGTGTCCATAAGTCGGATCCTGAGGCAGTGAACGAGCAATGGTCTGACGGACCTCCTTTCCAAAGGAATGAGTAGAGGAGATCAGCGCAAAAGAGTCAGGCCTACGAGAGAGGGCGTCAGCTACTTTGTTGTAGCAGCCCTTCTTGTGCTTCAGTTCAAAGTCAAACAGATCAATGAACTGAATGTAAATGCTAACTTATCATTTAGCTCCCCTTGGGACTTCAACCACTGCAACGTGGAATGATCAGAAAAGATCTTGAAGTGCCTGCCTTGGAGAAAGTGTTTCCGGTGTTTCAGGGCACTGACAAGAGCATAAAGCTCTTTCTTGTAGGTAGAGTCCTGAAGCTTCTGAGTCTTGATCTTCTTACTCATGAACTCTA